GCGATGGCAAGAGGTACTGCAACAGTTCGATTTTAGTTTTCAGTTCCGTCTGGGGAAGAAACACACCAACGCGGATGCCATGTCCCGCCGCCCCGCACACACGGGTGACAAACTGCCAACTGAGGATTCCCATTTCATAACCACTCTTACCATCAGTGAGCCAACCCGCCACCGTTGGGCTATCGCTCAAAGCACAGATCCCGATACAGCCATAGTTTATGACCACCAGCTCAACGGGAGACATCGGTCGACTGACTCCGAACTGCATGGTTCATCTGATTCTGCGCGCATCATCCGAAGCCATTGGGCTCACCTACTCATGGAAAATGACCTCCTCTTCTTCAAGGACGACACACATAGTCAACCTCGACTGGTTGTCCCCGGCAGCCTAGTCCTGCCTATTCTAGACGATCTGCACCGTGAGCTCGGCAATGTAGGTCATGTGAAAACGGAGACTGCGACGAGACAACGTTTCTGGTGGCCACGCCTCAGAGAACAAGTCTCCATTTTTTGTAACACCTGCTCCACGTGTACCACCTTTAAAGGACCCAACCCCCGACGCCGGGCGCCCCTCCAACCGATGGCGACAGGATTCCCGTTTGAACGCGTGGGCATCGACGTGCTTGGACCCCTACCCATCACCTTGACTGGCAACCGCTATATATTAGTTATGGTTGACTACTTCACTAAGTGGGCAGAGGCAGTCGCCCTTCCATGGCAGGACGCAGCATCTGTCACTACCGCCCTTCTCACCACTTGGATTTGCTGTTTCTGGGCCCCCAGCTCCTTACATTCCGACTGCGGGGCGAACTTCGAGAGCCGGCTAGTGCGTGATGTCTGCGACCTACTTCAAATCCATAAAACACACACTACACCGGCTCACCCCGAAGGGAACGGCCAGGTGGAACGAACGAACCGGACCATTATTAATCTGTTAAAAGCCTTCGCGGAAGACCACAACCCCCACAACTGGGACGTTCGGCTGCCATACGCCATGATGGCATGTAGATGCGCGGTCCATACCTCGACTGGCTACGCCCCCTTCTTCATGCTAACCGGGCGCCATTTCCGCTTACCCTCGGACTCTCCGCTTCCGCTCCCAATCTGTGACGACTACCAGCCAGATGCTTATGTCCTAGAGCTGCAGGAAACCTCAAGGACCACGCACAACCTAGCGCGAACTCAACTAGAGTCAGCTTATACGCGACAGAAGGCCTATTTCGACCAACACGCCAGCGGCGCACCATACGCTCCAGGCGACCTGGTACTGCGCTACCGTCCGACTCCACCGGTGTGGACCTCGTCAAAATTCTTCCATCCAAGGGAGGGTCCCTTCGTCGTCCTTGACTTCTTTCCCCCTTCGACTTACACCATACGAGACGCGCAGTCGGCCGGAGGCCCCGTCCTTACCGTCCACTATGATAAACTGAAACCTTATAGAGGCCGGCTACCCAACGCGACCGCCGACGCCCTACCCATCCTTTCCCCTCACCTGGTCCCTTAACCCTCCGATGAGGTGAAAATCACCAGCAACCCCTTCCATGCAGCGCCTCTGAGGACAGAGCCACCTCTTGAGGAGGGTGCGTGTAGAGGACGTACTGACCCTGTTGTTTTAATGTGTCCTTGCTATGATTTTCCTGTACATTTTGACTGATTGGAGTTCTGAACGTGCTTTGTTTTTAGTGACCGCCGTTGAAGAGCGCGAGGGGTCCGTCGAGAGACCGCCCGTAAAGAGGAGGACGACGAGAACACGGAACGGGATTAATTTTACTCTGCTGATATACCTCTTTTAATAAACTTTTTCCACCGTCGACCTATTCTATCCGTGCACGCTTGCCCTTTCAGACGATGGACTCAATTCACTCTAATTCCCAAGGTTCCCGCCGAGGAGGCACTCGTTCGGATAAGAACACCAAGGAAGCCGGTACGGACTGTCGCCTAGAAGGAGAAGAAGACAAGACCGTACCCTTGGGTGGCACGAGTATTACAGTATAATCAAGGAAGAATTACGAAGATTGTGTGAACAGAACCTGGGGATAAGAGCTGAGATTCGAGGAAGGTTTGGACTATTATTAATGCGACAGAGGCGACAGAAGCCTGCTTTTAGTCTTCGAAACCATAAACATTTTAGTTTAGTTATCTGGCATCTATCTGAGTAGGAGATATTTGGATGCTCCGTACCTAAGAGTCTTCAAGTAAAACGGCTTTGAAAATTTTCAATTTTTTAACGACTAACCTCGTTCATTAAATCAAAGAATTCGCAGAAATTCTCGAGAATAAGAAGTAAAAACACTCGAGATAGTCTTAATTTACTTTCAGGAAGATATAAATTATAAGAAATAAGGCCAGAAATCAGGGCGGCACTGACCGTAATTCTATCAGTGTGTGGCGAGAGATCAAGATTATTTGTGTAGCTCAAACCTAAACCCTTGAAAGATCACTGGTTGGGGTAGCCTGTCAGGTCCGAAACACATAAAACTACGTTTAGACGGTGAAAGTTCAATTAGCCATTTGGAACTGCAAGCTGAGAGAGCAAGCAAGTCAGCATGCATTTGCTCCTGGCAATGAAGGGTCGTAGATTTATTGGATGAATATACTCATCTGAGATCATCGGCATAATTAAAAGGCTAAGAATGTTTAACTGCCGACGAGATATCATTTATATGAAGCAGAGACAATAGAGGACCTAAAAAGGTGTCTTGTAAGACACCAGTTGCAATATAATGCGCATTGGAAAGTGAAGATCCCAGTGAAACCTTTTGCTTAGGATTTTACAGGTATGATTTGATAAAGTCTATGAGGGGACTGTGAATTCCCAGAGCTTCTAATTGAACCAAGAGTCTTCTATGTGGCATTTTATCAAAGGCTTTACTAAGATCAAAGGAAATAACGACCACAGACAAATGATCATTACGAAACGAAATATGACATGTTTCCTAAGAGCGATCAGGTAAAAAGCCATGTTGGGAAGAGCTGATAGCCAAATGCGCTATGCAAAAAGTCAGCAATTTTCATGGCGATTATTTATTCAAAGAGCTTGGCGAGAGAAGACGTTTTAGCGGCATTTATTTAACCTTCCCAAACGTGCTTTGTTAATTTTTGCACATTTTCATGCTCTACATTGTAGGTAGAATATTGTTCAAATCCTCACGCCTATTTGCCCTCTGTAACCTGAACCTAACCTACCTTCGCTGACCGACGGAAGCCCATCTCTACAAGTGTAACGTGCCCATTCTAAAACACCTTCGTATACTGTTTCGTAATCCGAAAAAAAACTTTTCGTCTCGTCTGACTACCTTTACATGTGTTCAGTGGTGTTTACACCCTCCTTATTTTCAATAGAACTCTCCGCGTTTCATTAAGGCAGGTTAATTAGCATACGGAGGACTGATACAGACCACTTGCGGATTTCCCACTGCCATATTTCGATAGCTAATTAAGTGCTATTGACAATTATGGGCGCTCTCTAGGCGGTATAACAAAGCTGCTGCTTAAGACAAGGTACCGTTTCTTTTTTCGAGAAAACATTCACGGAATGGTAAACTACTTGACTGACTTTGGAGATAACGACCTTAGGGATGATTTAATGATTGTTCGTCTGGTGGCCATTAAAAACAACTCATTCTTTTCGGGGTCCATAGTGGGCGCTGTGAAGTCACCAAGACTGCCTATATGACCTTTTCGCTTATTACTAATACGGTCATCGAATGCATTTTGAGAAAGTTGTGTCAGTTGTCTACGGTATCCGTTGCTTAAGCATCTTCAAAAAGGGTTTGCAACAGCTCTCAGGTGCGGCAGTGAGACTTCACGGACATGTACTCGCCCTTGTTATACGGGACTACGGGTGTGTTATTTGGTTGAGTTTATGGTTTTTGTAGTAGGGCACTGTAGATAGTTCGCTCAAATTATGAATTGACGGTGATTCCTCTCTGAAAGGGCGGTCACGCCGAAAGCAGTACTGGATATTGGTCACCATGAGTAGGTGATCCAAATGGTATTTTCGACCTCTCCGCCCTTCTCATACAACTCCCAATTTTCCTGCACGCACTCTGTCGACGTCTGCCCCATGAAAGAGCAACGCATCCGACACCGGAACCAAAGCCACAACTGCCAATTGGGATCCCAACAACTCTTATTTTTCGCCTTCAGTCCTAGCCGCATGCTCATAAATCGCAAAAAAGAAGGAGGAACAAAGCAGTAATTGAATAGTTTACCAGGGTTGCTTGTTGCATACGTAGGTTTCTTGCCTAACTTCCCTCTCTAGTGTGCGTCCGCAAGCAGTAAAAAATTGTGCCACTTGCCTGATACTTGGTAGAACCTATTTATAATGCGTTCGAATGCTTTCGTAAAGTGCATATAGTCTGGGGCCACACACTCTATGCAAAACTTAATTAGGTCCAATAACGAGCAACGACAACAAAACTAGGCTACAATTCATGGTGAATTTTGCAATGAAATGCGGCCGCCTAGCCCTTAACCACGAGCTTTTCCGCAGTTTAAACTCAATCTGTAGTTTACTTGCGAGGAACGTAAAAATTGTACGGAATTTTTTTTTGTCCAACCGGGCAAACGCGAGCTCCCTGCATTCAGAAAACTTCATAATTTCTGGGTGCTGAATTTACCGAACTCATTTTCCGCGTAGGTGGAATTCCTCGTCTTTACCTCTCTGTTCGGTCTCATCTTGAGGGCGGTTGTGCAGATTCTATAGTTCGCCACCCAGCAAGTGAGTTCTTCATCCGGCAGAGAGAAACCGTTCGCCCATATCCCCTTGCCCACTGGAGAGCCCATCTTCCTTCAATAGGGACAAAAACTGCAAAAGCCCACTGTACTCGTGCCAACTTTTAGCGCTCTGGATGGCGTCAGCAAGCGAATTGAAATAGTGGAGGAGGGCCAAGACGAAGTACTTTACATCATCTTGGCTTTTCTAAACACATCCAGATCAAAAATCTACAAAAACAGCCAACTCTCCAACCGACAAGCGACGGATGTCCTCTTAGGCGATGCGCAGCCGTGGAAAATTTAAGGTCAGTCTGGAATAGAAGGCGACTTACTGGACACCCCTACACCACCCAAATAAACTGAACTGAAAATGCTTGATGGTTCGCACCGTTTGCTCACAAGTCCCCGAAGTGCGGATGTAGATTTTCGGCCCGGATCTGGCTTTTGGACTAAATTCAGTCAGAGTAGTCCCACCCCAAAGGAGAAAAAGATCCGGTCGGCCATAGTGGCAGAAAGTCTCGGAAAAGGGCCGGTGAAAAAAGAAGAATGTTCAGTCAGTTGGATTTCGAAGTTTACTGTTGAGGACAGGCTTGAGGTGTAATCCACCTGCCTGGATTGAGTAAACAACACACCACTGATGGTGTTCTTCGGAGGGCTCTGGCTGGAGTCATCTCAGAGAACGTAGGAGTACCTGGTGTGCGTCGCGTTTGCAAGCTTTAAATCCCGAGAATTGAAGCACTTCGAATAATATATCTTCGACTGGTAATTTATTTTAACACACGTTTTCGACATTATGGTAACGGCTAAACCTGCAAAAGATCGAAGAACCCGAAATTGAAAACTAAATTCAACGAGCTGATTCAGGTCATCTGGTTTAAATTGAAGCTCGTAAGATCACTGCCACCTGAAACGACCGTATAATAAATGGAGGGAGTGGCAGCCAAACGCAGTATTCGATGTCAATTTCGTCAGCCCGACAGAATTTCTTCTTCACGAAGTCAAACTGTCACTGCTACATGACCTCCTGAGGTGGCCATAAAACACCAACAAGTTAGTCATCATATTCTACTGATGAAACCTCTGTTAAGTGACGCCCACAAACCCTCGCTTTTGTTAAAATTCTTCGTGGGCCTTCTCTGGGACGCGTGGACTAACGCAAGGACAGTATTACCTCATGGCTTTCTTAACATAACAAGCATTGCGTTAGTAGTTTGTTTTCTTTACTTTACATCCCATATTACTGGATTCTTGTTCTTTGATTAATTTTGCGTTTGAACCGCTGATGATAACCTTTTAATATTTTATTTTGACTGGCTGCCATTTGTTTCCAAGCTAACCATCGTAACTCATTCCGGCGTTTCTGTTTAGCATTCTGCCGTATCTCTTGGGTTTGCTGCCCGTTTAGAGCTTGTCAAAACAATAGAGGGACGTCCAGGTGACCATGATTTTTGTTTAGATCCCACGTCTCAAAGTGGCTATTTCCGTATATCACTTTACCCTCATATACTTTGATTAGTAGTGGTTCGCTGTAAGTTGATCACGGGATCGTCACATGTGATAAGATGCAAATGGATGCTAATTCTACAAAACGTGCGCAGCTCTAACCTGGCAGCAGATTAGCTCTTCAGGAATATTCGTATCTTAGAGTCTTGTTAATATCTTATTTGACTTAGGGCGCAACGCTTACTGCTGTGACACCGCCCATATAGCTATTGTCTCAGAAATGGCGCTGGCGGGGGCGGATAATTCGCCGGAGGTTCCGTTTGACGTCTCTGCTCTCTCTGAAGCCAAGAGGCGCGATTTGAATCACTTTAAGGCATGTTATTATTCTCCTGTGATTTCGTAGGATATATCGGGCATTTCAGACGATGGCTGCGCTGCACGCATTCTAGAAGATAGCGATTGGAACTTAGAAGTACGTTTAATTCACTAAAGTCTTATTCCCAGCATGCTGTTCATAAATTTATGGGACTTGGCGATTCTGGAAACTCAGCCGGCGCCACTCGACGCCGGCCTCAAAATCAACCTATACATCCGGCTCCAGTTAGTTTTTGCATATGCCAGTGACTTTCATTTAGATTGATCTTGCTCCGCCAAACCTTCTTGTCTTCCGACGCGTTAGGCCGATTGGTGGATGGTTCCAAACTGTCCTGAACATACTGCTCAGTCCAATTTACTTTACGTACCATGTGTTCGCCAGTATTATCAACACTTTCAGTAAGCCCAGCCGCCACTTTTATCCTTTCAATGAGTCTACATTCAATGCTATTATGCACTGTGTACTCCATGTGTAGAACAAGATAATACAGACCCCTTCAGTGGCTAAGGGTTCTGGTTATTACGTTGAGTACATCTGCGTCAACCGCTCGTGCCCGTCTTCTGGCAGCACCCCGTCTGTCATCCTGGCTGGTCTGTCGGATTTACGCATACGCGTCCACCGGAAACATAATAAAGGTGCAACTCTGACAGCACGTTCAGATTAACTCTCAAGTGTCGAACATTAGCCTTGATTTGTTAACTCGCCTACTGGTGGACTTTGCCGCTTAGGCAGCTGAGTGGCTGTTATCTGTGCCAAGTCCTGGCTGAGCGGAGAAGCGTGCTTCCACTACTTGTTCCCGCGTCTTTTTCTGTTTCTTTGTTTTCGAAGCATTTACGGGAATCCCTTTTTAATTTTAGCCTCCTTCCTATGGCCAGACCCACGAACACGTAAGAGGTTTTCGTTTGCAAAACGTTCTTAAAACGCACTATTCGCAACTTATACATTGCCTTGAGACTCCTTAATTTTCCTGCTATCACGATATTCTAACGCATATTTACTACCGTTTTTGACGCAGGTGTTTAGAAATGTTTGATTTTGATGATCTCGATCTCTCATTTAACTGGAATCGCCTCATCTAAAATGATACTTTCATGTGAAGTCGAAGATAGGTTGTTTACGAAGTGCTGCAAACAAGTTTAGACTTCGAAGAGTTAGCTATTGTCGGCCCCCTGTGCGGAGAACACAAACCTTACGAGAGCTCGGACGGTCTAAGTCAGATGTGATAAAAACATATCTAGGTGGCAGCTGGCCAGTGGTCCTTGTTTCATTATGCGATGTCCTTACGAACTGCCTGTCTTATTAGTTCTGATTGTATCTGCTTAATGTAATTTTTCTGTCTATCACCACCAAAGCGCATCGACATACGATTTAAATGCCGCGTATTTTTGGTGTCTTCGATCACACGCATATATCTTTCTGGTTTTTTGACTATTTTGTTGCCTAAATAATATACCTGACCAGTGCAGTTTACCATGTACTTGAATTAGCACAGCAGTATGTAAAATAGTTTACCGCTCTGTACGTTTATGGTTCTGAGCTGCTAATCCAACTTCCTCTATCAGCTGTTTCGTTTATCGATATTTAATGCTTTTATGGCTTTTAGTGGTCACCGATCCTTTGGGCGATGTTCGTCACTTTATTGACACCTTTAAGCAAACGTATGCATCTATCAGTGAGGATTCAATATCCACCGATACCATTGAAAGAAACAGCACCCCGCCCTTCTTCGAGGGCACTTATGCACAGGCGCTTCAGGAGGCCAAACGGAGCTTGCGATTTTTGATTGTTTATTTACACTGCAGTTCTCACGAGGATACTGAAGAGTTCTGTAGGCAAGTCTACTCTTATATTTCCCATACTAGATATGTAGGCATGCTTCTATCCAAGCCATAAAAGCGAACTACCGTCCCTCAGACTGCTCATTTTGTAAATGCTATTTGTTAGGTATTTCCTGTTGGAGATTTTTTTTACAAGTTTCTGTCCCTATTTACATAAACAGTCGCAAGTACACAAACCAATATACATAGACTCATGCGTGCATAGTTGTTTTGACCGAACTAACTTGACTTGAACGATTTCAACCCCTACTCTATACCGTGCATTCGTGTCGAGTCTGTCAGTGTAGAACACCTGTACCATGGGTTCGTCCGTTAGTGAAGTACTAACGTCAAGGCTATTCAGTATGCGAAAACCGGTCGTAGTTAGGTACTTTCCAATCGCACGAAGCAGCCAAACAAGACCAATATCGATGCCGGAAGGGGTTCTAACTTCTGATTGCCATCTACGTCGTTTTCATACTCTCACCTCATCTGTTGAAATCGGTTAGATACAATCGGAGCACAAATCAGTCCCCGTCCAAAGTCATTTTTTCTCCTTTTCAGACAAACACTCCAGCATCCGACTACTCTCGCTTTTTTGAATAATACTGAGCAACACATCTTTTGGGCCTGTGATATCAATTCCCCTGAAGGATATCGGACATCACAAATATTCCGCGAGCACTACTACCCCTTTGTTGGTGTAATTGGACTTTCTATAAATCGGAGTAAGTCAATTACCTCCCTACTATGCTTCACGGTCTGGCGATCTTAGTATTATACTTCTAGAAGGAACCTATTATTCCTCAATTGCCCATCCTCAAATTGGACAAGTCCTAGTTATTATTAGCGCTCTCAGTGCAAATACACTTCCAGCATTTCGGCGAAATTATTGGTTTTTTCATCCACTTCACCGCATCGAGCCACCTGTTGTTGAGAGGCACTGAATTAGGGTACTCACAAAACTTTACCGCCAATTTCAGTCGGCTATCGATGAACAGTGGAACATGGTCGGAGCCAAGTTTAATTTATTCTACTTGTTCTACTTCTCTGCCATTATAACACAGTTTTCCCTATCGTTGTTGGATTTTGGAACGTGCGCCATCCTCACATCGGTTTGGGCAATTTGATTGCAAATCCCAGATGGTATTGCCAGTCGTTCCTTTTGTGATTTCCTAGTTCCCTGAAACCCACTCAGTTCCATGTTCTTCCGTGCTTCACTTCAGCGATTTTCCAGAATCGTTAGTTTATGTGACTGATTTTTGTCAAATATGCGGTTTAGTTGGTACATAGAGAGGGGAAACTCAATTCATTTTAGGCAGAGATTATGATTTTTCAACCTGAAAGACTTACTTTCGCTAGCTCTTGCTGAATTAAACCGACATAAATCTATGTAAGGTATTCATCGTATGAGGATCCAGATTCTCAAAAATCCTGTGGACTCGGTCGCCTGTGGCGACAGTGTTATCCAGGTAAATTAGTTGTTTAACAAACAGCAGGTGTCTAGCAACATTTAGAGAATCATCTTTACCCTGAAGGATGGCTGAGTGATACGGCAGGGGTCGCCTCAGGGGAAAAAAAACAAAACAAGCAAATTGCAAAACAGTCTGAAATTGGGGTAGTGTAAACAGCGCGCCAAGTACACACTAGCCCCAGTCCTTTTGCCAACCGTCACCATAGGCTACGGCGACTTGCTGGAAACCAGAACACCAGTGAGAATTGGTGTGCCAACTATAAAAATAACCCCGAACGATGCGCCTAGGAGGTTGTACCGCGTTTCGCTCTGAATTTGATCACCCGTGATTGCTGCTCCCTAAATGGAATCAATTGTCGTATGGTTCACCGTCTCGTGCGCACACATCTTTTCATCAGTCCTAGTACGCAAACTGCACATCTACGTCACTGTTTGCCCAACAAATCTTTCTTGATTATATTTCGTTCGGTTGTTTCTCTGAGACGGCCTAAAAAGTCTTTGTCAAGCGCTTGCCTTCCGTCCGTCCCTTTTTTACCTTTCAACTCCGATTTGTACTTTTTAAGCACATTCTTCCAGTTCGTACGGTCCGCCAAGTCGCATGGCTCTCCTGGGACGCATCGAGGGTCTGGTGTCTGCCTCAGACTTTGTGGAGCAGCTAAGCGATATTATCAACAACAATCAGACCGCCCTACTGGCAGCCAGGGCTGAAAGGTAATTTGATGATTGTCCTTCTGCCCCCTCCGACTGCAAATGTCAGTAATTTCCAAATTGTTTATTTATGAGCTTAAAGGAAATTGCCCAAGGCCTCTGATTTCCTCAAGTATGTACCTCCTGTTGTTGCCTTTCGTCAGGTTACCCGCATCCCAAATAGCACACTACCTGCCAAAGTTGGCCTGTTTGTATTTTGCTCGTAACTGTGTGAGGAGTCAATTCTTCAGGCATATTCGTATGGGTCAAGACCCAAGCCGGCACTGAACAGGGCTCACCAAAGACCTAGGTAGGGCTCGGAAATCAAACGACCCTTGATTCTGTAGGTGACTTTCTGCCAGCCTCAATACAGGTATGATAACACAAGCTGCACACAGTAGTATTCAGCAAGAATCCAGAATGAAAAGGTTGGGTTGGTAGCAGCGAAATTACGCGGCAGTAGCCTGAACACTTGCCTCACCGCTGACTCCTCCCCTCTCCCCCCCCTCCCTATTCTGTGAATGGAGACCTGAGTCGGTCGTAACAGCTCTGATGGCATATCATCACGACCCCTCGGGTCTCTGTAGCAAACACCTGCACGATTGTAATTACGCTCTTCGAGTGTTCCACTGAGGGAGGAGGGTTGATTCACATAACTGTGTCAGGATTTAACGTCTCACGGGTTCTTATCCGTACCTCGAGGCATGAATGGAAACGATACAGAAAAGGATTGGTGGCAATGCTAGGGGGATTGTCGCTGCGACGGTTCCTGTGCAGAGAGCGGGCTCCTTAAAGTCGGCCCTATCCGCTACGTTCGGAGAGTACAATCTTGTTTCCCAAGCCCTATTAATGCTGCGGGCTAGCTCCGTGTATCGACCTTCACTCCAATCGGAGTCCCTTGTCACCCGGTTTCTCGGTCCCAGCTCTGATGGTAAGATGGGATTTTCCCTTCTGCCGATTCGTACTGCTTAACGAGTTCGTTTTAGACCGTGCCGCCTAAGCCAATGGGAGCTGCCTTATAATCCCCCGTGTACAGTCATCGTCTGGATTCTTCGACTAAGTAGGGCTCCATGCTACGCCGTTCATTTACGCATGCGCGTGCTTAGTAATTATGCCAATAACACCAGAGGCTTTACTGTATGCATCTGAATACGCAGATATCGACAGTTAATTTGTCCAAAGTGCAGTAAACCATGTTGCCAACCTAGGCATCTGACACTGGTCAGTTGATCGGAAGGCATTTCTTATCGCTAGCCAGTGATTTACTTTAAATATCGTATTACAAGTGGACGAAAGTTATTTATAACAAAACTACATTCTCGCCTGGAAGAGGGCTGATGACCACGGGACTGAGAAGGATTGTCAAAATTACACTCATAGTGCGTACCTACAGTAGGTGGGTTAACTCATGAAATGTCAACTGAAATTCCGAAATGCGTTTTCGTTTCGAAAAGATTGATTAAGTAGAGTTATAAAACTAATCATCGTACAGCATAATTCTATAATAATCCAGTTACCCCAGGAGGCCGGCTTTCGAACGGAATTCTTTCCGGCCGCATGCGAATACCACTCTGAAAAATAACTGCTTAAGTAGCATGCATTCTTCTCATGAATTTTTCGATGTCCTTAAAAGTTCGATTATATTTCTTAGAAAAAATGCATAAAATATGCATTCTTTTACTCGTATGGTAAAAAAATGGCGTCTTCCAGTTTTGTCCTCAAAGGAAGGGTATAATTCGGTTTTAAAAAGTTTCTTATTGCGTGATTTTTTAATACCGTGAGATGGCCGTTCAGAAAATGTCATGTTTCTGCATTTACCGATGTCGCTTGTAGTTACCAATATGGCTCAAACCCCTTTGCTAAATTTTATGAACCCCATATGGTCCCCTCTTGATACCGTAAAGAAATGTATGGTTTTCCCTCCGCGTGAAGTTTACGGCTTGTAGTTTGCGAACCCTGAATGCAAGTGTAGCGAAGGTGGGGTTCAAAATTATTCGAGAATTGGGAAATTTTTTGAAAACCGAATTATACCCTTTCTTCAAGTATCAAATTGGAAGGAGACATGATTTTCTACCGATTAAGTAAAACATGAATATTTTATGCATGTTTTCTTTATAAAATATAATTGGATTTTAAGGGCATCGAAAATCAATGGGAAAGATGCATGCTACTTAAGCAGTCATTTTTTTACAGAGTATAGTTCGCATGTAGCTGGAGAGAAGTCCGTCCGAACGCCGGCATCCTGAGGTAACTGAATTACTATAGAACTAGTTCCACAACACCACTTAATTAATCCTTTCGAAACGAAAACGCATTTCGGAATTTCGGTTGACATTTCACGAGTTAGCCCTCCTACTGTACGATTGAACGCACAGCTGTTTATATGCTGTAGCACATGCGTCAATCTCAATACCAGACCGCATGGTTAATGTGCGTGCAGTGTTACAGCCCATTTTACGGAAATAGATAATTTTTGAATTCCACAATAAACAATTTGTGCGAAATCCTGACAAGACGTTAAAAAAACAGAAACAGTCTGCGCACGCTCTGATTCTGCATGGATATACCGTCTCCCTGTCTGGTTTTTTGAAGGATGCTCAAAAGCTGGTAAAAATTCACAGGGGGTTATTTAGTTTTACAATGTTGGAAGACGATAGAGGGAGATAGTTTTTTTTTTATAAATTGAGCAGTTCCAATGGAGGTGAACTACAAGAAATAGAGAAGCAGCAGCGTACTGCCCGAAGGGATAGAACAGTCGACCTCACATTTCTGTCCTGGGTGCTTTGCCTTGGGGGAATTGGTCAATAGTCAGAAGGGTGGTGGTTAGGTCCCGCCTAGCGGCACGTTGTTTTCGCTTGCCAGAATTTTTTTTATTTGACACGCCTTCCCGTGACTAATATCCAACCTGTTGCGGTGAGTCTGATGTTGGTCGACGGCTGATGTTCCAGCCGCCTGTTAACCCGTCTCAGAATGTAGACAATATTATAATGCCCTAGATACCTGTTACCTCTCGAAGGGTAAGAATATCAAAGCCAATTCGGAGACCGCCGTTTCACACTTAGTTTGCCATGCTAAGGTCTGTAATGCGGGAGCACACCTGCGCGGTTTTAGCAAAGATAATTGCGCTGGGTGAGTTAGCCAGAGATTCTTCACGGTCTTCACTGCCTACGTTTCCCGTGCAACTTTCAAGTGGGTGGCAGGCCTTCAGGTCAAAAGCGGAGTTTCTTTTTCGTTTCAAACGAGCTGCTGTCTGAACAGTCTGCTTAGGTCTACGTGAATAACTGGCACTTGTAGGACGAAGGCAAAATGTCTGGGCGGACCATGGTGGAATCGGGAGGAGGCCGACCGAAGGCCTCATTTTTTCCAATTCACCAATCCCTGTCGTACACGGCAGGCGGTTTATTAACTGGGTAGTATTTCGCGTCCTGTTTGTCGAATTGGGACTCGTGAGACCGCCGTGCTCTGGACAATTGTGCAGGCCTGTGTGAGGCCAGAGTAGAAGGATCACTTTAAACGGCTTGCCATTTCATGTGAATGTTAGCCCATTGGGGTGACAGCCTCTCCTTCTTCTTCTTCTTCTTCTTCTTCTTCTTCTTCTTCTTCTTCTTCTTCTTCTTCTTCTTCTTCTTCTTCTTCTCCTTCTTCTTCTTCTTCTTCTTCTTCTTCTTCTTCTTCTTCTTCTTCTTCTTCTTCTTCTTCTTC